CAGTCTTGTGATGGCGACCGACGATGACGGGCTGCCCCACCGCCTCACCTCTTTGAGAACGGGACCTCCGACGTGACCGTGATCTTGCTCTTGCTCCTCTCAATGGTCACCACGCCCCCGCCCAGGTTTCCCGCTTTGCCATTCACCTTGATCCTTTCCTGCAGGAACTGCTCCTGCAAGAGAGGAATGCCACCGCTTAGCCGGGCCCGCCAACTCCGGGCGGACAAGGCCTCCCCAGCTCACCTGCACCCAGCGCTTCGGCTTGTTATTAGAGCTGGGGAAGAGACAGAAGCGCTGCTCTGTCCAGGGGAAGCAGAGGACAGCCACCTACCCGCAGGCCGGGAGGCTCCAAGCCTGCCAGCGCCTTCCACAACTAATCCAACGGCCCGTTCAGACCTGCGCGTAAGCGAGGTTCTCGGGTCCGAATGCAGTGGATAAGCAAGACAGGGACACACTTCCCACCTTCCAAGGGGACAGAAGGTGAAGCGACAGATGGGTTAGGATCCTCTGAGGCCACCTCAGCCACAGCCCTGTGCTTCCAACCCGTACACGAGCACAGTTCGAATGAAACCATGTTCACCAGACAGCACCGAAAGGCAGCACGCCCTGCCCTCGCTGTTCCTCACGGCGTAACGGAAAACTCACCCCACAGGGGATGAATGGTAAGATTGTTCCACAGGTAGGGAAAAGGCTCTTGCTTAAAGTACAAAGTGTTTTAAAACAATAAACATCGCATAGCCTCCAGCACCACGCAGGCTGGTGGTGCCTTGCCAAAGGGCTGCCTTTGCCCGCGGGGTGCTTCCCAGCACTGCGGGCTTTTACGCCGTGCCGTGGCAAGGGGCAGAAACAGAGAGCAGGAGCAGCAGGGGCTGCGCCGGCCGGCACACTGCTGGGCGCGGGGCCAGGAGCCCCCCAGGACACAACAGAGCGGTGGGCCCTCACGCCTGCCCCCGCACTCACAAAGTTGGCGGCGTCCATGATGCCATCCTCCACGGGGTGGGTGCAGTCCAGGGTGAACTTCAACACCTGCTTCTTTTTTTTGCCACCTTTCGCTGCGGGC